CTCCTCCAGGGCCACCGGCTCCACCACCAGGGTGAGTGGGAGATGCTCCAGGACCGCTGGGAGTGCCTCCGCCAGGACCGCCTGGGCTGATCGGACTACCGGTTGGTCCCGTTCCAGGGACGCTGGGCGTGCCTCCGCCAGGGCCACCTGTTTCTCCGGGGCCGCTTGGACCAGCACCACCACCACCAGGGCTAGTCCCAGGACTCTCGCCGGCACCACCAGGATGCGTCGGGCTCGGGACAGCCCCGTGAGTTGCTGTCGGGATGGATTCGAGCATGGTCGACAGATCGGATTGGAAGGCGGGGAAATCGCCCGTGCCGGTTGGTACGTGGACACCGGATCTTGTAAGGATGCTGACTAGGTTTGGTGGGAGAGTTCCTCCTCCTCCCGGCATGGGGACGGCGGCGACGAGAGCCCAAGGGGTGATGGCCAACGCCAGGCCATTCTTGACAGGGCGCATTCTTGTCGAAGAAGCTGATGCAGTTTGAGGGGAGTCGTGTTCGGACTGCACAGTATTTGGTTCGGTTCGGTTCGGTTGAGGGTGGAAGGTGAAATGCGAAAGGGATCGAGACCGGAAATATTGGTGTTTTATGTATCAGGGCATCGAATTCAACTGAATGATGGCTTCTCTATGTCATCAGGAAACTCAATTCTGTCTAGACCGGGTGACAATGTACGCGTATCATGACTTATTCTGACATCCATAACCAAGGGCTGCAATGGCCTGGCGGTGGCGGTCTAGCCTCCCACCAAACATCGACGAGAGTAGGGAACATGGGTTCGGCAACAAGCGTCAATTCATTGCTGTCCGGTAACCCTGGTTTCTCAAATTCGCGGGAAAAGACCAATTGGCCTATGAGAACAGCCAACGTGACGCATTCGTGATATGTTTGTTTCCGTCATGTCTTTCGTTCCGGTGGACGAGCCCTGTTTACCGTGGTAGCAATCCAGGAACAACGGATGCACGGGCCGAAAATGCGATGCAGTCTTCGCAAGAGTGATTGAAGTGAACAGGAGAGCAAAGAAAGATGTGATTAAATGTAGTTGTATATGTCCAATGCGTCTAATTCTCTCATCATTTGTCGTTTTCTTCCCACACATTATCGACTAAAATTATCGTTTGATCTTCTAATCTATTAGGTCGTCTTTGTCGTACTCCGTAAATCATAATTGGCGCGCTTGCTTCATTTTGAAATCATTCGAACTTTCAAGAAATTGCTTTGACAGAAAGCTGGGTTACGCGTCGGCGTCCAAGGGAGGTGTTTATTCAAAACCCAGTTCAGTAAATGACCCATGGTCGACGCCATCCAACATGGATCAATTTCGCAGCAGTGACACATGCAAGGCCTGCAGCGTAGCAGCATGTCGTAAATGCAATAAGGCCCCAATACTGTCCATCACAACGGGCGAGGATCTCTCCAGCAATCGGAATGCCAGTCAGAGTTCTATTCTCGGCAATTAGTTCCAATTCCTTTTCCCAGCAGAAAAAGAAGCTTAACTTACCCAAAGCTTACGATAGTGTACGACGTTGCGTAGTATCTGCCGTAGTGCTCCGTTTTGCAGAGCTGTCCGATGCACACCGGGGTGAGACTGATGTTGCTACCACTGGCAAAGCCAAAAATGGCGCTATACACGATCATCAGCGGAAGGCTGTCGCCAGCAGGAAGCCACAGGCATGCACAGCAAATAAGGCATAGGGCGACTGTGACAATGAGAGTATTGAAGCGCCCAAAATAGTCGGCGAAAAATCCCGGAATCCCTCTTCCAAAGAACGAGCCAGCGTTGAGAATGGCAAGCATCTGATATGACAACTCGGTTGAAACACCATGAGATAAGGCGTAAGAAGAGATATAACTAATGGGGATGAAAAGGCCCCACTCGACGAAGAATACACCAGCCGTTGTGAGGGCAAACTTGGGTTCCCTGAAAATGCGAAAGTCGGGTAGAACATTCTCTTTGGATGCTGGCTTCTTAGGCAGTCGAGACTTAATCAACAGGCAGGCCACAATCAGTGAGATCAAGCAAATCAATGCTACCACGCGAGTTGCCCACCCAAATCCAATTTTGGGGAACAAATCCTGCAAAACGAGGGGAAATATGACCCCCCCAACGGAGCCCCCAGTCGCTGCAAGGCCTGTCGCGATTCCTCGCTTTTCATTGAAGAAATGGCCCACGGCAGATATAGCAGGCGTGAAAATCAGGGAAGATCCCATGCCACCTGCAAGGCCGACGGAGAGCATAAAATGCCAGTATTGAGTACAGAAACCAATAGAGATCATCATCGCTATGATCAGGATCGAGCCTGCAAGAACTAAAAAGCGCGGGCCCTTGGCGTCAAAGACCGGGCCTATTTGGACGCCACAGAAGAAGCACAAGAAGGCGAACATGCTAAAGATCCACCCATTGGTACCGGAGCTGTACTCTTTGAGTTGATGGTCATCGATATAGGCTTGAAAAGTACCAATGGAGTTGACCAGACCGAGAGAACCAAAAAGGCCCATGAAACACCCAAACACCACCAGCCATGCGTCCATACCACCTTCGGGGTATGTGTTGCCATCAGCATCTGTTGTCATCCGACTCAATGTGTTGCTGCGAGCTGAATGGCCTGATGGGAACTCTTCAGATGACCTGTGGAGACCATCCTCGAGCGCCTGCGCTTCATGTGCGGGTGGTTGGTCATGGTGGGACTGAATTGTCGGTTCGACTCTTTTCTCCGCATCAGTTACCATTCTTCCACTTGGATCAGTATTATCATGGGCCACACCGGTCGATAGCTTTTCAGACCATGGATCTGGAGTCGCGGTTGGAACGGCGGATGGTTCTCGTTGCTGCTCGGGCAGTGCGGCGTTCGTTTGCATAATATAGTCCGGAATAGATTAACAAATAGTCTGCCTTCCTCCCCAAATACAGAAAATCATAGGGAAATCGATTCGCACGAGGTAATCGTCAAGCGTAAATATAGAGAAATCAGTGGCGGCGGTCTGGCCGACTTTTAAGCGGAGATCTTTAGACCCGCAGAAAATCTTGTCGGAGCGGAGAGAAGGTCCTCATCGGCTAATTTGCTCCTTCTCGGTAATAGCACTAGACGAGGTTTAAAGGGTCAATTGTAGGATAGTTATGTCGTTGTCATTTAGTCACGATGTTGCCGCCATCGACCAGGAAAGAACGGTGATCTCTCCGATCACATGACTCGGCATCGGTCTCTTTGTTAGCAGAAAGTAGTCATGAGTAGGCAACAGGAACAAGATAGGACGAGAAACTCTGTTCAGCCTAGGAACGATGTTTGATGCAACATGCTCGTTGACACCCTTGGTCAACATATGAGTATGGATACTCTGTACGAGTTCAGAGAACATAACATTTGTCTCTTAAGGCAGTAACAGACTGAAGATGACCTTGTTAGTGCGTTTGGCCCAAGCTGCTCTGGGCAGACTGCCTGGCATGGCTATGCCTCCATGTCTGTCATGGGTAGAGTCGATAAATTCTGAAGACTATCGAGCATGTTTGGAGGTGATCCCACCGGGTTTTGGGTGATAGGTGATTGCATTTGAAGCAAGAGATATAATTCCCCGAGAAGACAGATGGATATCTACGGAAAACGAAGTCGTTAGGCTCGAGATATTCAAGGGATAGCTGTTGATCACGGGCTATGCATGATTATATCACTATTTAGAATATGATACATAATAGTGAGTCCATATATCATCAAATGGGCTTGTGGTTTAGTGGTATAATACCCCCTTAGCATGGGGGTGGTCCGGGGTTCGATTCCCCGCGAGTCCATTTTTTTGTTTTTTTATTTTTCGTACGCTCCCTCCCCCCTCTTTCTTTCCTTTCCTTTTTTTTCTTTTTTCTTTTTTTTTTTTTTTTTTGAAGCTACATCATACTCTCTGAGCTAAATGCGTGCAGTCAAAATATATTCCAGAGCATAATATAGGAGCAATTGTGCACTATTGTTTGCTACTGTCTATTCGAATGCTATAAGATATATAAACGGGATGCTGACAGCACAGTCCGACAACAACCATGTCGATTACAACTGCGTCATCCCACAGATGCCCGAAGGCAAAGAGTCGGGAAACTCCAAAATACAATCAATACGAACGGCATCCCGGAATACAGCAAGCAACACCACTCTCGACAGATGGATATATCACGGAAAGCCACCGGGAAACAGGAATCCATATATACAAACCACAATATACCACGCTAACATACAAGTACAGTAAGAACTATAATACCAAGATGCCCAGTAAGTGGCCCACAGCACCAATACCAAGGCTCCATATAAGAAGATACATAGCCCATGGCGCCGGGTACCTTTACTATAAGCAGCGAAAAGATCCCTGACGGAATCGAATACACACACGGAGCTGCCAACTCCCAAAGCTGATCCCCAGAAGCATCCCTGACGGAGCGAAAATAACTATTCGGTATACGAGCAGCGTTTACCCTGGAAATGACATCAACGGAAACCTGGACAACCAATCCCTGCTCCTCCCGCGAGCGGAATCTCTTATCGACCAGGACGAGGGGCGCGTGATGACATGGGCTGTATGAATTTACTGGAAAAAGCAAAGACAGTCATCACTACAAACAATGGACGGGCGAATTGCCGTAGTAGCGATGACCCTGGTCCGAGGACGTACGGCTCGTCACAGTCTCGCAGGGCAATCGACCAATGCCTACCTGTGTCAACACTGATCGATTATTTCAAGTGTATACCATATCAAGTACTCTTGGCGTCGACACAGTTTACATACACTATATCTTATCAATCCCTTATGTATATGAGAGTCGTAATAAATAAAGATGAGAACAGAATCGCATTACCCATTCAGGAAAATTAAAGCATAGATGCTTGGAAAAGATGTCAAAGGTTGAACTCAACACAATGCATATGCCTTTAGGATTTTTTTTCCGACAATGCGAGATACTAGGAACGGAAACCCTCAAGCTTACTAAATAGGGCTTAAGAGCGACAGGGATATGGATAGTGCATGTAGTTCGGCGTTAGGATGCTGCCCTGAGCTGATAAGCATAATCCGACTGTATCCTGATATGCTACACAGTAGCTACTCTGTATTACAATACAGGCGATATTAGCGGCTGAAGCAAGACATCAGGGTTCTTGTGTACAGTGTATGTGATTTGATACCGTATTTGCTAAATGAGCGTGCATACACAGTGATTCGTGCTATGTACATAGATGCATTTATGTACAGGATCCGGGCATTACGAGTCAGCCTACAACACGCATATGCGTACGGAGTACTCCGTAGGGAGACTGGATGATCAAAAGTATATCCCGTGCAAAGCCACAAATCACTTCCTCTCTTTCTTTATGCTCCCCTCCCCCGCATTCCGATCTTGACTGCCACGTGCCGCAACACACCATTGGGACCAATGCAGAAGAAACACAGTGAAGAATGAACACTCGATCAGCCAGCATAAACATAACACTCATTTATGCAAATGCAACTATGTACAGTAGTATTCCTGAGATCGAGATCGTGAATAATGTACAGTACGGTAATGGTAAGTTACAAAACCACATGACAGTCAGAAAAAAACTCCGACCCACCGATTGGCTACCCGCACATGAGATCTACATATAACGGATGCGGAAACAGTGGGGT